CCGTGGCTAGTTATGTGGACGAAATCCGTCGACGTAGATTACATGCCACATTATTCTCCTCATAGCAATTCTGAGATGTATGGACCGGGTGCCCAGGCTGAGTATTGACCCAATTGGGGCTCTTATCATGCTTGTGCATATATCTCGAAAAAGCCTCAGGAAATAAATGTGCCGGCCACCAACGGAGAACGCATCACATGACCGTGGTCCCGGATCGCCGGCCATCATTGCTTCCTCACTCTTTTGGACGCGCTCAATCGAACGAACAGACGAACGGACGAACGAAATAAGAATTGAGCAGCACTTCTCTATCGACTCTATGGTTCATTTCATCAGCCCCCGAATGCTCGTGTACTGTCATTTTTAGGGACCTGTTGCGTGGAAACAGGAGATCTTGTGATCGTTTGAGAATGGGTTCCTAGAGTGCTCGTCCGAGTCGTGGTCGGCTCGGAGCACTCTCAATCATAAACTAATCATAAACGACCTACCCGTCTCCGAGTCTCCAGGTTAGTCGCTTGCCTCGAAACTCGAGATTCCGCATGCATCTCTCAACGAAGTCTACGGTAAGGCGTGTTCACGGCTGTGGTGATTGTACATGGAATGCTGTCTAATACTCAGTACAATCGGCGCGGTTCTTAACCTATAATAGAAAACTGCAGCAACGAACTTGAAGCAAGCTATGAGCTAACCGTAGAACGGCTTCGCATCTCTTCCGTCTGTTTTCTGTCTTCTTTGCTGACATCACGGCAGAATAGCTATCAGATCCCCAGGTGGGCATTGCTGACATAGTGCGAGCCTCCCGCGCAGCAATAGCCTCCCCCAACTTTGATCCACTGGAACCCTGCAACGCAAACGCCCATATTCCGCAGCTTTTGCTGTGCTCGGGCCTCTTCCTGGCGCTTTCGCTCCTCCTCCAGCTTCAGCGCTTCCAAACGTGCCTGCTCCTGCCGCAGCGCTATCTCCCGCAGCCTTTCCTGCTCCCGGCGCCGCATCAGCTCCTCGCGCTCCTTCTCCTCCCTTGCGGCCCTCGCGGCCCTCTCCAGCCTAGCAGCTGCCTCCCGCGCCTCCCTCTCCTTGCGCTCGGCTGCCCTTCTCTGGTTCTCAAGATGCCTCAATGCAGCTTCCGCTCGTCTTCGCTCTCCCTCCTGAGCTTGCTTTGCGATCTGCAGCTGACGCCAGACATGGTCTGAGACGCCCGGATCGCGACCGGCTGTATCTATAGGAATTGTGGCTGTGGTTGGGAACGCAGGATTGCGACGCCCGTCATTCGAGCTATCCTGGGTGACCGTGGCTCGCTGTTCAGGCTGTTGATTGCGGCCTCTCCCCGTACGCCGGTTACCCCTCATGAAATCCCTAGGGCTCTGTGCCCGAGGAGCAGGCGGCTTAGAAGGCGGCTTGGCGGTCGCTTTCGCTGCAGTGCTGACAGTCTCGGCTGGAGGCGGCGGTGGTGCAGAACGGTCTTGCGACATCATGGGCATATCAGGCGAGTCGGCTCGCCGCGCATGTGGAACATTCACCAGCCGCTCTTTCCGATCAGAGAGCATCTTCTCCATGCATTTCAGGGCGTCTCCGTCAGCCAGAACGAATGTGGCCGCTTTACTGGCGGTCGAAGCAGGCGTAGGAGGGACGACAGAAGGCTGAAGAGGTGTAGAGGAGAAGACGATGCTGGTCATTTGCTTGGCCAGTGTCTCCATGTCGCGCGCATTCCCCCAAGACGGCAGGCTTCGCAGCCGGTTCACGACGTCGGCCATACGCAGGTACTCTGCAGATTTGCGGTCTTCTAGGCCGTTCACCCGGATGTCCTGCTTTGCCAGCTTCTTCGTAAGGATGTCGAGACAGTGCTCCGAGGACATATTGGTAAACCGGATTTCTTCGGGAAACCGGCTGGCCAGACCACTGTTCACGGCCAACAGCTGATTCATCTCTTGGTCGTAGCCAGCAAGTATGGTGATGAGCTTCCCGCGAAACTTCTCCTGAGTCAAAATATCCACCACCTCGTCGACCGCCTCTTTCGCAAAGTGGCCTTCTCCTAGGCGATATGCTTCGTCGATAAATAATACCCTGCCGAGCGCTTTCTCGAATACCTGTCTTGTCTTGGGTCCAGTTTGTCCAACGTACTGGCCGACCAAGTCCGAAACTGAGCATTCAACGACCTCGTCCGATGAAAGGAACCCCATGTCGTAGTATACCTGACCCATTTTTCTGGCGGTGGTGGTCTTTCCAGTCCCTAGAGCTAGTCTGAGTCAATGGACAGACGAGATACGAATTGCTGCCCACCTGGGGGTCCTTTGAAGATAAAATTGGTTGGAACATTGTCGCGAGGATTTCTTCCAATACCCTTCATATTGCTTGACATTCTCTGCCATCCCGCGAGCTTCTCGATGATCCCGTCGCAGCCTATCACATCTTCGAATAACTTCGATAGGTTCATTGCAGCCTGTTCACTGCGGGCGTATGCAGGATCGAAGTCCTCAGGCTCGAATGGAGCATCTGGCGATCGCTCATCTGCAGCCAACGACGCCTGACGCTTTTGATAGTGGAGTTTCGCTTTCGATAATAGATTCTCGACTTCACCGATATTTCCGAAATTGGGGCGGTTACGCAGCCGACTTAGCGTTTCCACAGCTACGGCCTTGGCCTTGTCTGTGGCAGTCCGATCCTGATCTTTCAACTTCATTTCAAGGGCCTGTCTCAGCTCCCCGTCCGTATAGTCTTCAAAGTGGAAGGCGTTCTCTATTGCGAAGCGTCGAGCCAAGCCCGGATTCACGTTCTAGTCCGTCTGCTATAAGGCTATGTTCGTGACTAGTAGAAAGTCATGAACTCGCCTGGAACATTTCTTCCATCTGATCCTTGTATCCCAACAGTAGCACGCAACGGTCCTCTCCTGGAACACTTTGCACTTCGGCCACGAGAGTATCTATGACAGCTGTTTTGTACTGATCCGATGCACCCTTTTGCCCAGACCCTCCGTAGAGCATATAGGCCTATACTTGTCAATGTGTCTTCTCTCGACTATGGAGGAATCATGAACTGACCTCGTCGATCACCAGAACTTTTCCGAGAGTTGCCGCAAGAATGGACTTCGTCTGATTCTCGGACTGCCCAAGAGCGCTGCCGATAAAGTCTGCAGGACTTTTCACTACAACTATGATAGCAAGCCGGACCTATCAACGGGGACGTCGAGAAGCTAAGACAGGCTACGTACCCTCTCCATTTGAAAGTAGACCCAGCTCACACAGAATTTGGCCATATAGTTTAGCCACCGTTGTCTTCCCAGTCCCGGGAGAACCGAGGAAGACTCGATTGAGGGAGATTTGGTCAGGTTCTTTCTCCAGCAATTCCCGCTGATAGTTAGTCTGAACCATAGCGAACAGAGTGCGAACGGTATCCTTCACTGATATCAGTCCAATCATGGACTGCAGTCGTCCCCATGATTTACTCTCGACCATCACTTTGGAAGGCTGAGGTCCAATGATGTCTTCCTTAACCAGTAGGAAATCGTCCACCGATTTGCCCTGTCGACGTGCCTTGCTCACCCTGCTTGCCTGTCGCTCCGTCATCTTCGCGCACATGTTTTCGAGAGCTCTAGCATTGCCGAACCCCTTGGTCCCTCTTCCCCGTCCCAGACGGCGCACTGCGATTCGACCAAGAAGACCTCGAATTCCACTTTCGTCGTCAATTTTCATTCTCCCGCTCCACTTTCTATGTATCATTTTTTCCAGCATGTCCATCAAATCGGCGTCCTCATAGTCCTTGAAGTGTAGAGTGAAGGGAACACGACTAGGTAGGCCGGGGTTGTGCTCGAAGAATGACTCCATTTCTTTGCTATAGCCAGCAAAAATGAATACCACTTTCCCGACTTGATTTTCCATCTCCGCCAGCAGAAAATCCAATACCTTCTTTCCTTCGAAGTTATGTTCGCTGGTTAGCTGGTACGCTTCGTCGATGAATATAGTTCCTCCTCCGGCATTAATAATGCTTTCAAGCTGCTTCTGAATCCCTTGCACACCATCGTTCGCGAGACGTGCCCCGGTAGTTTCGATGAACATGTTGCCCGGTATCACTTGAGCTGAGGCAAGAAACTGGCCATATAGCCTCGCGACCGTGGTTTTACCTGTACGATGAGAGACATATAAGCCATCACGAGCATGCACTGGATTGGACAGAACAGGGGCTCACCAGTTCCGGGATTACCCAGCATGCTGACGTTGAACCTTTCTTTGCTGAGACTCGTGCTTTGCCGTTGAGATAAATCGACCTTGTCTTTGATCCGTAAAACCTGTTCTTTCACCTCTTTTAAGCCCGTAAGCCGCATCATTGAATCTAGCGCATCGTTCGCCGAACCGAAGAGGTCCTTTTGATGTTCCCACTCGTCTTCCGGTGCAGGCTGCTTGGGTTCAGATGATTCTGGTTTCCTTTGGGGATCGTGACGAGACTGTGTGTCACTGGGCTTCGCTTCACTCTTCATGGCGGGTCTCAAGGAGTCAACTAGGTTCGTCAGAGATGTTTTGACGCTCTGAATCATGGACGATGCTTGGGTTGCAACAGTCGATGCCTCTCGGAGTTCCTTTTGTTTCTCCTGGATGGCATTCGCCCTCTCTTGCGCTAATTGTGCATGACGTATAGTGTCCCTTTCTAGCGCGATCTTCCGCTCGATTTCGGCCAGCTTCTCCGCGTGCGCTTGCTGCTCGGCGTCTCGTTTCTGCTGCAGATCGTACTCCTCCTGTCGCCTCTTCTCCGCTGCCATATCATCACGGTCACATTTCTTGCAAGACACCGGCTGTCCTTCCTGACACTTCCACGACTGTTGATGGCCCTTCGGACACCTGTCAGAGAACACAAACTCGCACTGCATCTTGGCATGGTCCGACAGTTGGTGACATTTCATCGGGCAGCTGTGAATTCCGCAGCTAAGCGGAGCGCCGCTGCAAACACATCATCACGAAGGAACTTGTGGAACTGTATTCCAACGTACCATGGTTGGGGACACCCGCCTTCTGGACATTCCATTTCGAAGTCGTCGGGGCGACAGAGCAAGACGTGACGATCAGGATGCCTTTCGCACTTTGCAGGCAAGCCGCTGTACATGTGACTACCATGCCTCAGCATGTCAAACAAGTGTGACCATATTTTGCCGCCTTTACGACTTGCCGAGAACGTCTTTGCATTGCCAATCATGATGAAGGCGTCTCGCGCTCGTGACAGCAAGACCGTCAACCTCTCTGGTGAAAACATGAACCCGATGTCGTTCTGCCTGTTGCTTCGAGTCAAGGAAGCTATGACGACATCGCTCTCTTCGCCCTGGTAGTTATCTGGGAAGATGGCATAAGGTCGGTAAATCGGATGTGGAACATAGTCATAAAATTCACCTATCGTGGCAATACGCAGTGGCTTTTTGATAGATTTTGCCGCTGCAGGACTAATCAAACCAGCTCGTACGAGATCGTATGTATCGAGATCGTTAAGGACGGGGTCCACGTCGTTCTTCAACGCCAACTGAAGCCTTCGCAACTGGCCCAGGTATGGCGTTAGAACGACCATCTTGTCCGTCCCGTATCCTTGCTGAGCTAGGTAACGGACGATCTTCAAAACCATCTGAACTTCGAATCTGACGCATGTTAGTACAATGGTTGAAGAGGGAAACACATGGAGCGCACTCATTGTGCTTCGAGGCCTTCGTGGTAACGTCCTTCGCCTCTCCAATTTCCGAGGAGTCGCCCTCTGGATGGTCATGGTCTATGAAGACCACGTTATCCCTCACACCACGGAGGTCCGGTCGTCCCTGGGTTTTCGGCGCATCGACGAGATCTGGATACGTCAACTCGCGCACAAGCGTCGATATCTCTGGCCGCATGCGATGTTGAGCCTTTAGAGTCTCATGCGGATACCCTTTCAAGACCAGTCTCTCGAACAAACTGCGGTTGAGGTCGAATCCGTCTCCTTTCTCAACTGTGAGGGTGTAGTTGTTGACTTTCGGACGCAGTTGTCTATACCCATAGAGGTCAGAGAGACAATATTGAATGACAGCCATGTTGCACATACTTATGGTCACCGATCAAGATCAATTGTCTGGTCTGCGGTCCAAGTGCAGTCAGAATATGGCTTTCAAGAATCTCTCCGGCTTCCTCTACGAGTAGGACATCAGGTTTGGCCTCGCGGATAGATCGGCGATGGATAGCCGCGCCCGTCGTTGTGCAGCCTATGATTCGCTTGCTTGTGATAACTGCCGTGGTCCCATCATTGAACTTCTGCTCGATCTCGTTCTGACAGTCATTATACTCTTGGCCAATGTCAGCCACACGTTCCACTACATCGCCGAGCATCTCTCGGACCCAACGAGCGTAGTGGGTCTGTCGCGCATCCAACGCCAGTCTCCAGGTGTCGCCGGTCTCGATCACGTTCGAAGCCCATTTCAATACCCCTGCGTCTTTCCCCTGGAGCCAACGCTCGATGAGATAGTTGGGTCCAATGGCCTTCCCTTTCCGCCCAACTTGCTTCGTGCCGTCTTGCGACTCGGGAACGCAGAAGGCTTCAAAGAACTCCGGATGCTCGAATTCCAGATGCTCCATGAGGGACATGTACCCAGAAGAAAAGCGCTGATATGCACTGAACGTGCTAGTGAGCGACAAAGATAATCCACGAGCCCTAGACTTCAAAGTGTTGATGACGCTCCAATCCATCTTGCTGCGCCCTGCTGATCGGGGTTGCCGATTCAAGGATAAGGACTCCGTCTGACTGGTAGATTTGCCACCGAGTCGGACCATGCTCTCCTCAGGGATACCGATCTTCAAAAGGTCTTCCAGGAATTGATCGAGGGCGTGATTCGTGAAACAGACGACGAGGATGGTTTTCTGGGTACAATCGTGCAGTATCTTCGCCAATAAAGCGCCAATGAAAGACTTCCCCGTTCCTGGCGTTAAGAAGGTTCAGACAACTTACTATACGTGGACGGCAGACTATCATACCTGGGGGACCTTGAATCAACGACACACTCTGTGTAAGACCAGAAAGCAACGACCTAGATTGCGCTTCATCGAGTTTGATGGAACTGTTCGTTCCAAGCAGACTCTGAAGATCACGGAGAGGGCTACTCTCGATGGCGCTTACAATATGATGCGGTGGGGCCGGCGCGACAGTGATTGCGCTTTCCTCGTCGAAAGACAGCAGCTCCTGCGACATAGGCAGAGTCGTCATCTCCTTCAATGCCTGCAGCACCGGCTCGTACGCGAAGACGGCTGTATCTATCTGCAACACCTTGATCTGACTCCCCGTACGAACACCCAGCAGCGCCTTCTTGACACTCTGCAAACCCTGAAACTGAAGCACGATAATAGAAGGCTCTTGAGCCAGCAAGTCCTCATCCCTGTGAACGGTGGGAAAGGCTACAATCTCTTCATCGATGACCAAGCAGGTCAACGACTGGTTCTTCCATGTCTTCCTGTCCTCTTCGACAGCTGACCTGCGCTTCTCGGCCTTCACGCCTTTCAGAAAGGGCAGGTCCGAGGAGAGCTTAAAGGTCACACCCCACTTGTACAAACGTTTCGAATCGAGCGGCTCTCGGTATAGCCCGACCAGAGCGACGTCGTTCAGCACAAGACCGCGATGGCTGCCTTTCTTGCTTCCGAGGGCGACCTGCAGCTCCTCGCGCAGCTCGTGCAACAAGTCCTCCCTCAGCAATCGGAACTGATTGTCCAGATGTATCGCAACCCTATTGTCAGCCGTCTCGGGGTCATCGAGGGCGTCGCAGGAGCGGAGGAAGGGTTCCTTTGAGGACGCCAGCTCATCCGCCGTCGGCAAGATAGCAATATCATGGAAATCATGAAAATCATTGTCGTGCCGACCGCCGGGGCCACCCTCGAGGTCTCTGTTGGCCGCTCCGGTATCGGACGTGGCGACGATGTTCTTGATGGCTTCCGCGTGCGATCTGACGTCGCGAACGGTCGAGTTGAGCATGATAGTCGTGAGGGTCGGGTCCTGCGCAGTGGCTCTGTGCGGGGCAGACGCCTGGCCGGGCAAAAGGACGAGCTGGAGGAGCAGCCAGGAGAAACACACCTGCGCGTCGTCGTGCAGCTGCCCGAGCACAAACGCGTCCCTGAACGAGGACCAGAAAATCGGCGGCTCCGTGATCGACAACACAACCTGTTGCAGATACACGCCGCCGCCAATTGTCCCGAGCTGGGGCGATGAGACGTAACGGAGAAGAGACGTGGCGGCGCCGTTGAAGAACGTCGCCGTCAGGTCCATACGCATTGATTCCTGCAAGACGCTGAGACCTTTGGGGCTCCGTATCAATCTATCGATGCAGCTTGCGACGTCCGGGGACGTGTAAATGGCCTCTAGAAACAATATGTTATTTTTTCGTGTCATCTGGACCTTACCATCCACAATAGAGTGGTATAGCTTCTGAAGTCTTGCGGTCCTAGCCTTGGTTTCGTCCATTCTGTGGTCGACTCAGAGGATCAGTGGGTAAGCAGAAAGAAAGAGGGGGGAACTGCGCAAGCGCCCGTTCCCTGCCCGTTAAACCGTGCTATACAGGGTTTCACAGCTTCCCAGCTTTGGTTCCCAAAGGCAGTAAAAGGGTCCTTCATCTCGGCGCCAGTACCGCATATAAATGGCTAGTCCGATTCGGAATTTCAGCTCTCCGTAGGATGTGTTATTCAAAAGAGTTCCCCGCACCAGTGCAATGGAGCGGCACACAGAATTCGAATAAGAATGTAGACAGAGAGAAAGGTGTGTGAGTACCGTCCGTTGTACTTACGAACTGCTGTACGACGAAAACATCGCCGCCGCTTAGACTGCCGAGTTCCAGTTCCGCAACTCCGACTACAATCCCGCGAAGGTGCCCACTGGAGGAGCCCGGCATAGACTTACCTTGCGACTCAAGCTTAAGGCTGACATCGAGCCCCTTCTTTCTGTGTATATAAGAGCATATAGTAGTACGTGTTGCAGGGACGCGTATCGAAAAACTGGCAGGTGACACTGCTTTGACTCAACTCTCATGCGCGGCCCTGAAGAAGATCGATGGCAAGCCTTCTGCTATGATTCGAAAGGCGTTCGAGTCGTTCGCCCAAAATCGGGACCTGAGTAAGGGACAAGCCCTCCCCGATATCTGTACTGCCAGTGTGATAGAAACAATATCATGGTGTACTACATGCACCGCACCTGGCGCACTCCGCGGCATTGCGAATATCTCCTGCCCCTCCAGATTCTCAAGCACTCTCCACCGACACGGGGGACACGCGCTCCCGAATCGCCACTTGCGACGGAAGCATCTGCCCACCACACTCCGCGCTCCCGCACGCCTCCTTATGCGTCTTCCACGCCGACGCCTGGCACGCCCGGCTGCAATACACGGCCTGCGTAACGGGTGGGGTGAGGTGAGGCGAGGTGAGCACCGGCACAGCGCATGCTACCGTGACGCACCGCCTTGCACTTGGCACACGCGTTGAGCCGCTCTACGTCGCGCCCTTCCACTTTACGGCACCCCGCGCCCTCGCACGCGCGGAAGAGCGCGCCGCCGCCCGCGCTGATCTTCGCCGCGCGCTCGATCTCCTCGCGCGCACGTCCGTCCGTGCCCGCGACGACATGCTCGTCAACGAAACCGTTTCAGATTCGCGCGCGCTCCGAGTTCATTTTTGCTCCAGGCCTAGAGACAAGTCTATAAACCGAGAAGTCCGTGACGCGAGAAGGCTTTATGACGCACATGGGGCAGAAGCCCGCCTTGGGCATGGCGTAGACGAAAGCGGGATCGACGAGTCCTTTGGGTACCAGCGCGTCCTTGACACAGCGGGCGATGGCTGCAGTGTAGATGCGCTCTGCCTCCCTCGGGTCCACCCGACCGGATCTCCCTGCACCTTGCGGCCCCTTCTTGACAGACATTTGCTGCATACTCTCGATGAGCGATGTCACGTCGCCCGCCGGGTCCTCCGCCTCCGTACTAACGTCGACCTCCCCCTTTCGCCTGCTACGTATGCGCTGTTCCCCTTCATCCCACTGCTCGGTATACTCTACCCCCCGTTTCAAGCAGCACTCTCCATAACTTCTGATAGAACCACAAGGGCAGCTGTATGCGGGCGGGTACGCCTGGGGCGCGGCTGCGTGGCACTCGGCGAGCGCTTTGCCCGACCAACAAGGACACGGCCTCGGCGGCCTGCCCTGCCGTCTATCCGTCTCCTCCACCAGCCTCTCGAACCTCTCCTTGTCTGCCTTGTGCTCCCCCAGCCGACCCGTGCGCGGGTGTGCCCCGTGCAGCAGCAGCAGCTCGATCATCTCCCAGTCCCCCGCAAGGCATGCCCAGTCGAGGATCGATATCCCGCCCAGCTCAACAGTCACGTCCGCATGCTGTTCGACGAGCAAGCGGCACACCCAGCGCAGGCGCGCCGCGATGGTCGCGACGCTCGCCGGGACCGGGTCGTCCGCGCGCCCAGGCCCAGGAGAGTAGGTTGCGAGCACGGCCATCCCGGATAGGAGCGGCGTGCGCCCGCGCTTGTCCGCGCGGTCGACAGTCGCACCCGCGCGCGCGCAGAGCGGGTCGCCGCGCTCGGCGGCGTAGTGCAGCCACGCCTTGTCGTTCTGCACGCAGTAGAGGCGCTCGAGCTCCGCGTCGCCCGAGATGGCGATGACGGTGTCGGGGGAGGTGGCGCCGCTCGCGAGGGCGGCGCGGTGGCCGATCCATTCGCGCGTGCCGGCGGTCGTGCCGAGGTCGACGTCGAGGAGCGGGTCGGCCCTGAGCGCTGAGCGTCTCCAGGAGCGCGCGGGGGATGAACGGGGTGGGTATATGCGCTGCCATTGCGGCTGGTTGCCTGTGCCGGGCGTTCGTTGAGGCTTTGAGGGGCGCCTTGTATTCAGCCTGCTCCAGCAAACGTGTTCTGGATCCTCCCGTTTATGGCGACGCGACTTCCTAAAGACGCAGGAAGCACTGGGATCTGCGGTCAGACTGAGCGAGCTATGAACCGTTTTAGCACATCCACGACGTCACTCGCTACTCGCATGAGCGTCGAGTTCGGTCAGCGTTCCACTCGGATGGCAATAAGAGTGATTTTGTATATCTGTCTACATCTAGAATACGTCTGTCAGTCCTCATAAATGCCCGTTAACATGTCTTACTTACTGCTAGTAGGGGAAAGGAATCGAATATATCGGAGATTTGTGCATGGCTGAGACAGCGCTCGGCTCACTTCAGAATTCAAGTCGGCTCGGACGGCAACGCCCGCGAGTACAAATCGGAGTCTCACTTCAACTTGTACCTCTACTTACATTTCTTGCTGCTCTTCATCTCTGCACACAATCCATCGCCATGCCGCCTGCTACTCGCTCCTCAACGTCCAAACCGACGTCTCCGTCGCTGAAGCAATCCAGGCTTTCCTTCGCTTCCACGAAACGCACTGCGTCCGGGAAGAGCAAGGGCAAGAAGCCCACCCCGTCACGCACAACCTCGACGTCCTCCATCATCCGCGTCGACGACAGCTCGGAAGACGACTCTTCTCAGAGCGAGGTCCCAGTGAAAGCGCCTTTGCCGAAAAGGAGGCGCACAGGCGTAACTGAAGATGTGGCTCGCATGAAGATCGCGGAGGGCACTGAGGAGGAGGGCGCGGCGGAGGCGGAGGTTATGGACTTGCAGGATAGGAAGGGGCGCTGGCGAAAGTATTATGGGACTGTTAGGGAGAAGATGGGGAACTTGGAGCCGAGTGAGTGCCGTTGTGATTCGTCCTCTTCGTCGTCGCCCAGCCCATAGAGCGCATATATGCTGCATTCGTGCAATCCAGTTTCCCCATCAGCGAGTGGTGGCGGATACATGAATATCTACAGCATATATGCGTCGATTATGGGTTGTGGAGCACGTCCTCCGCTGTAGCATGTCAGCCGCCAGCATATACTCAGTATTCTCTTCAGTCCATGCTCAAGGACAGACCAAAATCCACCATATCCTCCGAGTATTCGACCTGTACGTAGCTCTTTCTTTCTCCCCAACTCCACTACACCTATCTTCTCCAGGTCATACGAGTATGGGCCATGTATTGGTGTCACTCGTCTCGAGCGCTGGGAGCGCGCTCAGGCTCTGGGCCTCAATCCGCCTCCAGAGGTGCGCTCTTATCCCTTCCCCAGTCTTCCAGTAAATGACCGGCTATGTGTGTCGCGTAGGTCCGAGAGATTTTGTTGACGAAACAGGGGCTGGAGGAAGACCAGTTCAGAGAAACGGTCTTTTACGGCGAAGCATAGGGCGAGTATATGCTTCCACCATGGCCTCCCAAGATTCTCGAGGTACGTCTGGGTATATGACCCTGTCATGTCCCTCCCTTCTGACCTTGCCGCCTTTCCGCAGTCGTTTTGTTTGCTATCGTAGTTAGTCCTTTGAGATGTACAGAACCACAGTTTGTAATGTTGTCTGACGGTAAATACATTATGTATGCTTGTGTCTTGCGAAAACTGATGCCATTCTCGTCCATCGAGGATACCAGTTGGAGCGGACAGTCTAGGTGCATCTCTCGAACCCACCGATTGACTTTGTTGACACCCTCCAGGTAATTCTACTATCCCTGGGATGGGTCCCAGCTCTTTCTTATGTCTCTCAGTGACTCGGACATGACGGACTCTGACAATGACACCAAGTGTACTCCCTATCACCGTGTCAGCACGAGGTACGCATCACTATTGTGTACAGTATACGCTACGACCAGGGAAAGCACAGCAACAAGACTCCTTTCGCCTGGGGCGTATCTGAATTCGGAATGGTTTCAACGTCGTCCGGACTGACCAAGTTGTATGGTATCCGAACGGCACGCCTGCCGGTCCATTTGCGCGCTCTCTGCAGTGCCCCTTCGTCCACCCTGCGGCCGTCGGGCGGACAGATATCTTTCTCTTGGGATCCACTCAGACTTGTCGTATCTCATCTTCCATATGACCTACGGTTCGGTTATCCTTGCTTTAAGCCTCCGGTGGCAGCGTCCGTCTTCTTCGCTCCTCAATGTGAGCCCATTTTCCTCACCCTTGGAACAAAGGTATTGGCACTACGTTTTAGTGCGACACATCCTCTAGAGCTTGATACCACTGTCTTCTACCGCTCGATTCTAGTCCTGGGGGGTTCATGCTTTGTACAACTTGCTGTGTTTAGTATGGTCGTGGCCGACTAGCTCAGTTGGTTAGAGCGTGGTGCTAATATACATACTCCCCGTAGTATCTTGCGACGCCAAGGTCGTCGGTTCGACCCCGGCGTTGGCCAGTCTTTTGGTTTTCTTCAAATCGTGTGGTTTAAGGTCGTCGGTTCTCCCCCACTTGTGGCCAAGGCTTTTGTTTCGTATGACTCCTGGGACTGCAAGGACAATCTCTGAAACTGGTGAATATGCTGCGCTTTACTGATGTCATTTGGATATGTGGAATGATCGTTATTCCATAGCTGGGCCAGGTGGACGGACTTTTGGGATGAGAAGCTTCTACATCGAAAGCGGAGTTGCCACAAATGAAAATCTTCGCCAACGTCGATGGGTCCACAATTGTGGAGATGAGGCCTCCGCTGAATATTGCGGTGCCCATACAGTATTGGCTTCTTCGACTTCCCCTACTTAGGTCTCGTGTTGCCAGACCAGCTTCCTCCTTCCATTGAATCAAAGGGAGCTTAGGGATCAGCGATAGTCCACTTGCATGTCTATTAGGAAAAACAACTGCCATATATGGCAGGGCCATTGCCATATCAGTAAATTTCATGATAGCGAAGAACATGTTCGATGCTCTGAGGGTCTATAAATTGTTTGAAAAGTCGTATAGTATATAAGGCCCATCCAGCATTTTACTTGGATGCACTTTCTTTCCCTTCCTTCCCCCACGTGCATACCGAGCAGGCTTTCAACGCCATCCTCCACCTCGACAGGTACACGCTGAAGAGACAGTCCACGGTCTCTTGGACTAAGAGGCATCGGGAATTCACTATATCCAATCCTGCCTCTAGAAAGTGAGTGAAGTCTACAGCATGCATAGATCCGGGAGGCAGACTCCGAACGAACTACATGAACATATGCTCACTTGCGACTTGTTGTGGGTATCTAACTGGTGAGTTCTAACGCTCTTTTCTGAGACACATATGAAAATATGTAATACTCTGCTCCGAGAGTCCGTCCTTGTCTGCCCCTAGGGACTGATCAACTCAACTCAGCTTCGTCTACCGACTGGCACAGTCAAATCGAGGCGCCGTCAAGTGCCACATCGACTTTCCCGCGGTTATACTGCTCCCTGCTCCGGTCTTCAGCTTCAAGTCGCGGCAAGTGTCCCGATCTAGTCACCAACTGCACCAGACACAACTGGCTTTTTGGGCCCGAATATCTCTGCGGTATTCAACCGACCACCGTTAGAGCCACCTTCTTTTTCCACAAGTCGAAATGGACGCCCAAACTGCCGTGCCGCCAGTGCGCATCCACGCTGTCTCATCCACCCCCATATCCACGGAGGAAACTCAAGCTCGTCTGGACCAGTTCCTTGCTGACTTCCAGAACCGCAGTACGGCGTCCAAAGGAGGGGATACGACCGTTACGGTGCAGCTCCAAAAACTAAATGAAGCACTGACGGCGGAGCATCAGAGTAGTTAGTCCCGGAGTGAGTTTTAGCTGCTAGCTGTCTGCCTCTTTGTCCCATATGTGCACTTAGCTCTGTTCCTAGCTATCCCACTTCATTCTGGACAAAGCAGGGCCATTGTCTCGATACGACTGTCGGATGTCGAAACCTTCGTGACCCTCCATTCCTTCATAGTACACCAAAAGGGAGCCATTCCTTTGGCATTCTGCTGCTTCTTGCAGGCTGTCTGGACCCGGTAGCGATCCTTCAAAGCACATGGAGGGTTGCTCGGTTGGCAGGGAAGACGGCTTGCACGAGGCGTGCCTCATGTTTACTTACCTTCCCCTCTCGTATCTGTCATATACTTCTGTATTGTCTATCAAAGTCTGCATAAAACCCTTTCTGACCCTGAAGCAGTCTGTCGACAATTGCCCTCGTAATCGCGTAACTATGGTGGTGAAGTCAGGGTTTCCCCAACCTTTCCGACCTCTCCTCCCTGTCCTTCTCACCGGTGCTCCTCTGCGAGGTCCCTGTCCCCATATCCCCACTCATACCTGCAAAGCCCTTCCTTTGCCATTCAGTGCCCATTTTCCGCGGTCAAGCTTGACCCAGGAACGTGCGACTATGACATCTGACTCAGCCTGAAATAGTAGTGCCTATGATGCGGACCCGCTATCTTCACCGTCGACGTCGACCACCACGTTCGTCCGTCTAGCCTGTCTTGATATATATACCTCTGAATATCGGCCGGGTCGCTCTCAGCTTAGACTATAGCCGCCTCTTCTGCTGACCTGCGTGGTTCGAGCAAAGTCTACCCCCGGCTGCAGCAAAGTCTTATCTGCAGCCAGTGTACCGTTCGTGCTCTCTGCGCCAGAGCACGACAACGCAAGACAACGATCCAGCGAAGGAGTCGCCGCGGAACTCCTTCCAGGTCGTCGTCGACCCGCCCAACCCTGTATGAGCCTTCTCCATGCGTACTTTCATCTTCGAGACCAGCAGGCCTTCCGGCGTCTGCTCGATGGCGGCAGCACGCGCGGCGGGGGCGCGGGACAGGCCTCCTCCAGCCCGAGCGGTGGGCGGTCCTGGAATACCAGGGGTGGAACGCTGAAGGACATCATGGCGGCGGAGGTGAACGCGCGCGACTCGCTCGGCAGGACGGTGCTGCACCTTGCGTGCGCGTCCCAGGAGGCGTCGGCCCCGGAATACGTGCGGATGCTGCTTGCCCATCCCGCGATCAACGTGAACTTGCAGGATACGGAGAGCCATTGGACGGCTTTGCATAGGGCACTGTATCACGGCAATTTGGCTTCAGCGTGCGTAGCTCGTGAATTCAAAGACAGGTGTGCTAAATCCTTTCTAGTATCTTACTCCTGCAGCGGGCAGACACAGATACGTCACTCAAGGACTTGGAAGGATACACGGCCTTCGACTTGTACAACTCTACCCTCGAAGACACGAAGCCGGTGCTATCGGAGGGTAGCACGCTGGAGCTTTTGACTTGGGGGGCGAACAGGTGAGCTTCGTCGGAATACCATATGTCTCGTCTGACCCAGATCCCGTAGGAACGCTACCTTAGGCCTCGGAGACAGCAATGACAGGACCTACCCCGAGCAAGTCATCATCCGCCGCGCAGACGACCAGGAGAAATCCACGGATCCCGGTCTCTCCACGATCCACGTCCGCCAGGTGCAAATGTCGCGCCTGCACACCGTCGTCGTGACCGACGAGCCGCGGAACAACCTGCGCGTGTGCGGGTTCGGGAGCGGCGGGCGCCTCGGACCGGGCCAGCACACGCAGTACCACCTCACGACGATCCCGCACTTCAACCACACGATCGTCGCCGTCGCGCTCGGCCAGGACCACACACTCGCGCTGACAGCGGCAGGCGAGGTGCTGAGCTGGGGCCTGAACCGCTTCGCGCAGCTCGGGTACGTGATCGAGCAGCCCGCGTCGGTGACGGGGAAGCTCGAGGAGCCGATCCAGGCAAGCCCGCGCAAGATCCTGGGCCCGCTACGTAAGGAGACCGTGCGCGGCGTCGCGGCGTGCAAGACCGCGAGTGCATGCTGGACGGACACGGAGGTGTTCACTTGGGGCACGAATAGCGGGCAGCTTGGCTACTCGAGCTCGGCACATCCCACACAGGTATTACCCCGCATCGTGCCGAAGTTCACTGACCCCGTCGAAGCTATGGCTCTTACCGACAATGCGATGGCATGCTTGCTGTCGACGAAGGATGTCGTCTGTTTGTTCAATGACCGTAATATCAAAGTCACGTTCTCCAACCAGAACTTCCCTCCCGAGTTCAAGTATCGCCCTCCGCAGACGAACGCAAAGATCACAAAGATAGTAGCATCGTGGGAGGGCACGTTTGCGGCATTGTCGACGAATGGGGAAGTATTCACATTCACTGTTCCTGCCCCTAACGAGGCCGTCGACTCGCCGCCGGGCAAGGGAGGTGTCGTGAAGCCACAGCGAGTTTGGGCGCTGAGGAAACAGTTCAGTTCGGTCAAGGACGTCGCGCTAGGCTCTGATGGTTCTATTATCATTTGCACGGAGTCGGGGCATGTCTTCGTCCGCTCTCGGAATCTGAAGAGCGGACAGGGCAACGCGAAGGCGTTCAAATTTCAGCGGATACCGTACTTGCAGCGTGTGGTCAGAGTAGCGGCTAACAGCACTGGGGCGTTCGGTGCTCTACGTCTGGATTGCGTCCCGAAGCCCGTCGTCATCACTGGCAATAGCCTGGCGCAAGACCTTGCCCAGATTCAGCCATATTTGCGTTTCCCGGATGAAGCCAGTGAGAAGGACGTGGATGTGCGGTCTCCTGCGTATGGCCTGGGTAGTCCGGATCCCGACGAAGGCGATGACTTCCCCATACTCAAGGATATCAGAGATATCAAGCGGCTATGTCGTTTACTGGCACTCGACAGGAGGATTCAGAAACAGTCGGACGGACGAGGCCTGTTTGCGGACGCGCATGTTGTTCATGGCGCCGACTTGATGGTGCAGGTACACAAGTTCGAAATTCCCGTCCATGCTGTGATCCTGGCCGCTCGAGCTTCGCAGCTTGCCCCGGTCATCGATGGTAAGACCAGCGTCCAGGATAAGGCTTCAAATATCAGTATCAAGGTCTCTGTAACCAAGGCGGGCAAGAAGCTCAATATCGCAGGGTGTCAACCGATGTCTGTCCTTGTGTTGGTATCCTACCTGTACTCGGACGAACTGTATGCCCTTTGGGACGGCCGTGTGGCTCATTCCCTGAAACGGGAGTTCGCCTCGCTCAACCTTGCCCCTCAGCAGATCAAGCAAGAGCTGCAAGCTCTTGCGCGGATCTTAGAGTTGTCCTCGTTGTCCCAAGCGCTGGAGGCACCCTCCAAGCGAGCACCCGTGCCCACAATAGAGCGTGATATGCAGCGACTATATGAGACTGCAAATGTCACCCCTGCGTCCGCGGTGAAGGCGGACGTCGTCCTGATCCTTGCTGACAAAGAGGTTTATTGCCACTCTGCTCTGCTGCGTGCAAGGTCACCCTTCTTCGCGAGTTTCTTCGACGAAGACGACTGGACGCGCAACCGGTGGAGAAAAGATGGCACGATTGTAATTCTTATGAAGCACCTCACATGGCGCGTCATGCAATACGTGATGCGCTTCATGTGTTGCGGGTCTGATAGTATTCTCAATGACATAGGTGTGTGAGTTGAGAAACTTGCCGTTCTTCGCAGCTGACGGAATCCACAACAGATTCCATCAACTCCGTAGACGAATTACTAGAGTTTGTTTTCGAGGTAATGGCCGCGGCAGTAGGTCTCCTTAATACTTCACTTTGGGGTTTTCCTTGTCTGACTCGGTGTGTAGAGCGAGCTCCTACTTGACCGCCTGCTCTTAATATGCTCGTCCATAATTCTGCGACACATCAACATCAACAATGCGTGCTATGTCTTCACGGATGCTCACCACTTCAATGCGCAATCGCTTGTGCAAAGTGTCCAGGGATATATGGCAGTCACGCTGGAAACCCTCCTAGAGAGTCGCATGCTGGACGATCTTAGACCCGACCTCATCAAGCAACTGTCGAAGTTCGTGCGTGATGAGCAGCTCAGGAAGTCACCCTTCACTCGGTCGGACCTTTTAGTCTCGGCCGCCATGGAGAAGAACGCAGAGTGGCTAGCGTTGCAAGATTTCCCTTACCCTATCATCCGCTTGACTAAGGGACCAATAAGGGAATCCGCCAAGTTGTCACCTCCTGGGCCTACTCGGATGTCGCGGCAGACTTCTGGTTCCGAGTCCCCGCTGTTGCGGCCCTCCCTTCCCTCCACGTCTTCATTACGACCGTCCAAGTTATCGATGGGACCGGACGAGATCTTCATGATGGACGATCCGGAGGCAGATGTCCCTGCGGAGCTCGTCTCACCGTCTGCTTTACCGGAAGACCTAGCAGCTGTCATCGGTGAAGATTCCCCTCCCGCTCGACCACCTGCAGGGTGGAAGTCGCTCTCTTCCGGACCTCGGTAAGTAATCTCCTGGGTCTCCTATATAGGCTCAGATCTGATATCGTGCCAGGCTTGACATGAGATCCATCATGGCTGAAGCCGAAAGTTCGAAGGCTTCGGCGTCTAAGCCTGCTGCTGCGACTCCTAAATGGACGCCAAAGAAGTCCATGGGCGACAGTTTGGAGCGAGCTCCTACGCCCAAGACACCCACGCGGACTCCGTCTGGTTCCCCTTGGAAGCCTGTACATACTCCGGCGGCTACGCCACTATCGTCCACAGCCTCGCCCGCGTCAGGGCTGACTCTAGCAAGGGAAAACGCTCCTCGCCCTCCAAGCACGCGTACCCAGGTACTGCCGCCTGCTTCACAAGGTCCGCAGTCATCACTGGGTCCTGTATATACGCCGTCTCGGATGCCAACCTCCAGGGAGTCGAAGAGTACTCCACGACGCGCTTCGTAAGTCACCGAGATTTCTGCATTCTCGCTTGATTCTGACCAGTATGTTATAGCGGTACGCCAGCCTGGTCTGCACCTCCTGTGGAACGTGTCGTACACCCTGATCCCACGCCTTCCGTGCTTTCTTTCGCGGCCATTCAGCAGATGCAGCTGGACCAAAGTGTGGTAACTGGCAAAGCGAAGCAGACACTACGTGATATACAGGAAGAGGAACGGTCGCGACAACAAGAAGAGGACTTCTTGAAGTGGTGGGCAGCTGAGGAAGAACGCGTCAAGCTCGAGATGCAGGGTCTCTCGTCTGCTCTGGGCCCTGATCGTAAGAAGTCCAAGCCGCGAAAGCCTAAACCGAAGACCAAAGGAGCGGAGCAGCCTAATTCGTCGGCAGCGGGGCCTGAAGGCAATCCTCGTAAGGACAGACGCCCCAAAGGCAATCGCGGTGGTACGAAGTACGATTCTCCAGACACCACCCTACCACAGCGTGAATCCTCCAAGGACAATTTACATTAAACATTGAATTATACATTACGCATATTCATACATGAGTTGGGGTTGTCAGATTAGGGATCAGTTACTGTAGATGTATGCCGTGTATGCACTATGAATACAACGATTAATTGCCTGTTACACCAGATACCGGTGTCGACGAGCCAACGTATGCATCGGGCTCATGGTTATCTTTGATATTCAGAGCAGACCCATCAGCACTGGCCCTGATGGTGACTACATCCCCCTCTCTGTACAGAATGTGAGCTATGAATTTGCATCGATAATCCCACTACGCACCTGATTGTTCCGTTCAGCAGTTTCTGGGCCAACGGGAATAGCACTTGGGTTCGAACGACGCGGCCAATGGCCCTTGCACCGTACACGTCGCTATAACCCTGCTTTGCAAGCCACTCGCGGGCCACTTCATCGACATCCAAAGTTATACGGCGATTCTTAAGCCGGTCTGCAACGTCTTTCAGGCGTAGTGATACAACCTCAAGAATAGACTGCCTTGACAGCTTATTGAAGACGAGCATGGAATCCAGCCGGTTTAGCAGCTCGGGCGGGAAGTACTCGGATGTACGTTCGAGTACTTCATCTCTTGCCTGCTGCGTGACTACGCCATTACTGTCAGATGCCGATGGGTGTGCAAGGATGTCGCTACCTAGAGCAAGGTCAGTCAGGACCTTGCGGGTACCTCAAGCCACGTACCGAGATTGCTGGTCAAGCAGATGATGGTATTCTAGAATTCAGGCGTAAGACACAAGTTCGCGTGGAACGTGAACGGCAGGACATACCTTGAAGTCGACTTTCCTCCCTTGACTGTCCGTGATGCTACCCTCGTCCAAAATTTGCAATAAGATCATGGCGACATCCTACCAGCAAGTCAAGACGTGCGAGCGACCTAAGGGAAACGATCGCCTACCTTATGTGCCTTCTCCAGTTCATCGAGCAGAACGACCGCTGCAACGCTCTTTCAGACAGACATGGAACAAATAACAATACCTACACTTACCATACGGCTTTCTACGAACAGCCTCAGTCAGTTGACCTACGGCACAGGAGTAGGACCTATAAGTGGAGATGCTAGAGAGAAAGCCATAGCAGACTAACCGCCTTCTTCGAACCCAACGTATCCAGGTGCAGCACCGATAAGGCGGGACATGGTATGGCGATCATGATACTGTGGAACACCTTAGAGAGCTTTTATAGACAGTTCACTTGACGACTCACCTCCGACATATTGATGTTGATCAGCCCGCGTTGCTCGTCATTGAAGAGGAAGGCAGCGAGAGCCTTGCATAATTCAGTCTAGGAAGATCTCACACAGTTAATGCAGTGATCCATCGAGAGTATTCGAGCAACTACCTTTCCGACACCAGTTGGGCCCAAGAATAGGAAGGACGCGACTGGCCTATTCGGAGGTTGGAGGCCAGCACGGGACAATCTCACGGCGTCGCTAACAGCAGCCACCACATGGTCTTGACCAACTACCCTCTGGCGGAGTGCATCCTCCATCTGTAAATAAGATGGTTAGACAGGAAGTAGATCACCGTCATGGGAACACGAACATGGATCAACTTGTCCCTCTCGCCCTTCAAGAGATTCTGTACAGGTATACCGGTAGCCTTCGCCACGACCCTGGCAATATCATTGGACGTGACTCGGTCATGCAGCATGGCAAGAGGTGATTCCTGGTTCTCCTCGGCCATCTCACTCTCCTTCGGAAGCTGTCTCTCCAGTTCAGGGATAGTTCCGAAGCGCAGCCGACTGGCCTTCTCGTACTCGCCCTGTCGCTGGGCAACTTCGAGTTCATACTTGGCTTCTTCCAGGCGCTCCTTGATGTCCTTGATTCTATCAAGACGAGCGCGTTCTATAATCCACGATTAGCATCTGACCTTTGAATTCATCCGAGGGCATCTGGAACCTACCAGCTTGCCAGATAGCAGTCAGCTGCTCCGACTCTTCCTTCTTTTTCTTCAGGGTCTCTTCAACTTCAGCCTTGCGTTCCAAGCTGAAAGTGTCCGACTCGTTCTTCAGACTCTCCAGCTCGATCTGCAGAGTGACGATCTCGCGATCCAGTCTCTCGAGCTCATCCGGTTTGGACTCCTGCGCAAGCCGAAGTGCAGATGCAGCCTCGTCCACGAGGTCGATGGCCTTGTCAGGCAGGAACCGGTCGGAGATGTATCGTGCACTATACACGGCAGCTGCGGTAGGTAGCAATCGTTGAATATGGTCTACGTTAGATAAGGAACGGGGCATGCATACCGGTGACAAGCGCGGCGTCGGAAATCTCGACTCCGTGGTGCACTTCATAGCGAGGCTTCAGTCCACGCAAGATCGAGATCGTAGTCTCCACTGTAGGCTCGTCAATAGTAACCGGCTGGAACCGTCGTTCGAGGGCGGCATCCTTCTCGATGGTCTTCCGGTACTCATCAGCTGAGTACGGCTGTCAATGCATGCTCTACATGAGGGAAAACTGATGCCAAACGTACGAGTAGTAGCGCCGACAAGCTGGAGACCCCGAGCAAGGGCGGGCTTGATCATTTGACCAGCGTCAATACTTCCTTCGGCTTTTCCAAGGTTGAACAAGGTATCTGAAAGCGCATACATGCCGTCAGAACGGTTAAGGGGCGTAGGAAGTAGGCATACTCACGAACTTCGTCGATGAAACAGATGACGTTGCCGCTCTGGTTGACTGTCAGCATTAACCGGATTATGCATAAGCAACGGAAACATTACCTCTTCCTCAATGTCCCGTATCAGGGCCTTGAACTTCTCCTCGAACTGTCCACGAATACCGGACCCAGCCATAATAGCCGATAGGTCGATCGACAAGACTCGCTTGTTTTGCAGAGACTAGAGAAATGGTCAATCTAGCTCATAGCCGAAGGATAATTACATACGACAGGTCTTTCAGGCAGTCAAAACGAACGCGACATTGTTCGTCCTGGTTGCAAGAAAATCCTGCCAGTATGTGTAGGACGTGTGCAGGGCGCAAGAGAAACATACTTCTGGCACCTCCTTCGCTACTATTCTGCTCGCGAGGCCTTCCAAGATCGCGGTCTTCCCAACACCAGGGGGGCCAATCAACTGCATGAAAGCGGGAAGTAGTAGATGGACTCCACAGGCTATATGCGTGCAATGCTTACCACTGGGTTGGATTTGGTCCTTCGAGACAAGACTTGCAGCCCGCTGTCAATGGATGGAAGGGACAGCATTCAAAGACGACTCACTCTGTATCGTGCGTCGGATCTCTGCGAAATACTCCGCTTAGCTCGCAAGTTTTGGGAGGATATCCGTCCCGATAATCCCTGCATTCCCAACCATTTCCACGAAGCTGCCTGCCCAATACAGCCTACACTTGCATTTTTGCAAGAATTTGGGATTTGGCAGGGTACCTGTCAGACGCCTACCAGTTGTTGATTTACGCAAGTCCCCCGCGAAAATGGGAGCCGGTAGTACCTTCATGAGGGCAGAATATCTTGGGAATGCAGGGGGCACCGGGAGTCCGCGCGAAAGACCCACCTTCGTCACGACCAATTGTTGGGTCCAGCTTCCCATTCCTCGCCATCTCCGTCAAATCCACGCTCTTCACAATAATCAGCTCGCATACATCATATCGTTTCATACCAAACTCACGTATTCCTTCAAAGCGTCCCCCTTCTGGTGCTGCGGCTGCATCATGAATCCCGGAAACCCTCCCTTCCCCATCCCGCCTGGAGGGTTCTGCGCATACGTCCGGGTTAGCGTCCGCGGAACTCGACTCGGGAGCGGCATAGCTCCGCCTGCCGAGCGCAAGATGTTCGGGGCGCCATGTCGCAAAGCAATTCGACTAAGAGGTGCTCTTGTCAGTTCAGCAGGGATTATTGCGCGCCTCATTTTCGGAATTGAGCGTTTCAGTGTGGAAGTCAAAGAGAGGCAAGCTCCCGTCGAGCGACAAGCACTATTTACGACGGCATATGGTAGAGCCCTCGACGTCGGCGTCGTTCCAGACGATTCTCGCGACGCGTCTGTGCTGCGAATCACGTGAGATGCCAGCTGCCGGGGCCGGGACCTCGGTGGCCAAATGAGGCAATTCCCGACGCATGTCGGGCCCTGTCAGCTTCATGATCAAGTTCACAGGTCACACGACGATACAGGCGAGTACATTATGTTAATGGTACACACAGAAGGTGTTGCTAGAGCAGCGTAAGATCTTTGTCCTACGCTGGCCTGGAGATTGAATCCTTACACAGAACAGCCTGGATGTCTGTATCTCTCGTTCCTCAAGTTCATGTTGTGTTTTCAGCTGCGTATTCTGGTAAGACTTGTTCCACTATCCTCATCCCAAGAAATCGTAGCCATCGGTAATCTGATATTGCAATCATCAGTCGCTCTTCAGCAAGAAGTCCGGATCTAGTACGAGTTGTTCACCTCGTCTATTGCTTCTTCAATTTTTACTCCGAGTAACTGACTGAAGCGCTGCAGGTCCTCGGGCGCTTTACTTTTGCAAATCTTGCATTTGGAAGCTTTCCTCAGAGAAGCCTTGAGTGTAGACTGCGCCGTCACTGATGCGCCACAAGGTCTTTTCTCGAGGGCAATACACGCGTCTTTCATGTATTCAATCCACCAACGTGCGACGGATAGACCGCAGCGCTTGCTGTGTTTGCGAGGACATTTCCCGCCACATTGGATCCATATCCAAGCCTCATCGGTTGGGATCCATTCGGTTCCTGGGGACAGTGTGAGGTATCTCGCAGCATAGCTGCACCGGTGGCGGTACTCGATGAGCCGATGCAATGGAAGAGCCGAGATATACTGCATCTCCGGTGTCGCTGGCTTGTCGCCTAGGAGCTGCGCTAAAGTGTGTCTTGCAGCGAGGCGTGCTTCGTCAGCGAGCCGCAGGCGACAGGCTACCGCGAAGACACGCAAGGATTCGCTCTGCAGGTGTCCCGTGCAGACAAGCTCTTTCCGCAAAGACCCCACCAATGCTTCGAACTGGTATTTGACCGCGGCGACTAGGACGGGTTGTAATTCTGTCAGGGATTCCCAGACAGGCTGCTTGATGGGGTAACACAACTGCAGCAGCCTCTCAACTACTTCCCCGGTTTCTTCGGACATTGGTACGACGGGAAGTTCCTGCAGAGAACTGTCCTTGGATCCTCCATCTCCGCCTATCATGAACATGTCTCGGAAAACGGCTGAGGCGATCCCAAGGACAACCTTGTGCGCGCGGAAGTCCACGTTGTCCTTGGAGCGCAATATCACGTCGGCCGACTCGTTTTCTTGGAAGAGTGGCTCTAGGAACGAACCCGCCAGACAACATACTTTCCTCAGATTATTTCTAGGCGTGCAGGATATCGAATCGCCTACCCGTTGGATGCCAAGGCACGTCCGTCTGTAGCTCGCCGTTGTCCATGCCAGTATAATCGCACTTAGATATGGGGATGGTAAAGGACCAGTGCAAAACAACGGCGGCGTCCAACGTGAGCGTCTGTGGCAACAATGTGTATCACATGCGGAATACATTGACGAGTATAGTCATAGCATACTCATTTCTCAAGCTTCCAGATCCAGGGTAACGCGTGTCATTAATGAACCCACAATGCGGATCGCACCTTCACCTAATCCGAACCAAATATTGCATTATCGGTGTCACGGATTTCATGAAGTCCTTATCAGGTAAGTACGAACATCAACTGGCCCGATATTGTGGTGAACTAAATCATAAACTATGGAAAAAACCAGAAGGAAAAAACTCATCGTTCTAGTTATTAAACCATGTCCGTGCGACTCAAACTTCTGCGCATAACGATGCTGGCATCGGGCGGTCCGCCGGAACCAGCACGTCCAGCCAACATCCAAATGTCTACAACCTGCATACGTAGGGGTTTTGACATGGACATCTGACGCTGGAGTAACCGCGAATATCAGGAATCACGAACGCTACTGGCATGTCAAAGGTGATACCGCGTATAGCAAACAGCAGGCCTCTTCACAGAGATCATTTGAAGTACGTAGCCATCAGAACTCCTGCTTCGTTGATATAATCAGAACCATTAGACTATAATAAGACTGCCTGGCGAGTTCCATACTTACTTACGACGTTCTCTGATCCCCTTGACGCACGATGTATCAAGATGGACGCCGGGATAACTTGGTCCATAGCTTGCTTGGTAGTTCCCTGTCAGAAAGGGACAGCACCACGAGAACTAGGAAACACAGGAGACGTCTTTAGGAATACCAAAGATACTTTTCCACGGGCTACTAGGCACGTCATGCCGCGTGCGTAACTGCCCTCGTAGAAGGCTAGTCGCACTAGCATAGATCTGCTTACCGATAGCACATCTGCACCATCGAAAATGCCCAAGGACTACAAATCCATCATACCGGACAATGTGCTGGCCAAACTCCAGTCAGATCCCTCCTGCGCCGGCTTTCCGTCCATCGTGAGGGAGTCCCGTCCGCATCTCTTGACGGTGTATAAACTCCTTGGAACGTCCGCCGACGGCGTTGCAATTATCGGGGAGCAGATAGAGCCTGGGGAGCAGATAGAGCCTGGGTTGCGATACAGTCAAGAATAGGGCACGACGTGGCTGCACTCCGCGGCCGAGGCGATCCGTGGTGCGGGCTGGAGATGGTTCGCCTCGGCGCTTCCATAGACTTCAAGGACAAGGTCGATGATATACGGCCCTGGACTACGCCTGCAAAATAGAAGACTGGGACCTCATCGCTCTACTTCTCGGCCACGGGGCGAAGCCTGGTCGCTGCGGCTTGCCTGACGATCATTTAGGTGGTAGAGCGAACGATAGGGAACGATTCAGTCAGCTCCTGAAGGAAACTTCTGGCATATGCTAACGCCCACAGCAGCCGTGCCCGTGCTGGTCCGGCAATGCGCTTGCCGACTACCACGCTGCGGGACCCATAGCCTACCCCTCCCACTACCCTGCCGGTGCGGCTCGGGCAAGTCCTACGGGAAGTGCTGCTCCCGGCGCTGCGTCGCGTACACCGAGAAGTGGTGCAAGACAGAGCGGTGGACCTGGGTCACGGAAGAGCGGCCCGTGCGGTTCGCGCTCAATCCAAGTGACATCGATTTCGATATCGCGCGGCGACTTATAGAGAATAGAGACCTCCTGGCGCAAGTCAGTCCTCGACCCGGATCCCGTGGTGCAACGACGATGCGCGTCCCGAAGTCCGTGAGAGCGAGGCGCACCGCCTCCTTCAAGGCTTTGTGAATATGGCCAGGGACGTCAGCGGGGCTTGTCGACCCTGCATTCCTGTACGCGGCTGAGCAAACTGAGTTCGTGCCGATGTATGCATCGTTTAGTGTGTCATGTCCTACCTGTCTGATGCGGACGCGATAATCCAGACCCGATGGGCGCGGTGGTATTGAGAGGGGGAACGGAAGCGAGGTCTCGAAAGAGTGGAATGACGAGGTCGACCTGTACATCGCTCGCTGCGACGATCCTCGTCCACGCTGTGAGATAGAGTGCTCTGCCAAGGTGAACGCGGGGTACGGCGCACTCTTTCGGGCCTGCGAAGGCCAGGGCTGCATCAAGCGTGAAGGGAGGGACGTACAGAGGCTTCAAGTATGCTCGGGGTGCAAACTGGTAGGTTCCAGTCCGTTTTCGCCTGCGCCGCCTGTTTCTCCTTACTTATTACAATTTCTGCGCTGAAGGCCGTGTATTGTAGCAATGCTTGTCGGGCGTCCAGGTGGACAGCGCGCAGAGGGGTGTGCGAGACAGGAGGTGGTGCTGAGCACATGCTGCCGTCGCAGGAAGCGATGCAGTATTATGTCGTGCCTGAGTTGATGGAGACCATGTTGCGGGAGAGCGAGACCCTGCTGTCCGAGGCCGGTGTGATTTAGTTAAGACACCGCATCTCCCCCGGGAATGTTCGTCTGTTGTACTCCGGAAACATGGCAGGCGATATAGAGATCGCAAATACGAAGGAAACCGCCGCCAGCGACCTATATCTTTAACCATCACGCGCCCACGTCGTAGGCGACAGTGACCTACTTTCGCGAGCACATGTCACCCTTCCGCGACAGTCGAATCCTTTCCGAGACTATTCACCTTATATGTGGCCTCATTAGTCTTGACTCTAGCATCTGACTGAGGCATCACAGGTTCCGCGAAGCTTTGCTTTGTGTCGTATCCGGAAGCTTTTCGCAAACAAAACGTGATCGTGCGCCGTCACAGAGCCGATGTACGACAGTATCTCCCATACGACAGTTTGGCCAGAGAGGCAGTATACATGTGCGCTGTTCCACGGAGATCATTCAGCTGATACATAGTGCAACGTGCAACTGATACTGAGCAACTGATAGAGGGCATATTTCGATTGATTCAGACGGGGTGGGCAAGGCCCTACGCGCAAAAGTCATAGGTATCCGCAATCTGGCATCAACGTTAACATGCAAGTCAAGACACGATAAGAAGTTGCTGAGTGTGGACTTACCTTCTTCACTCTCTTGTCGACTTCGGCCGCAAGCAGCTCACTGAACGCTGTCAAATCTTGGAATACTCTCTGACAGCACGTGTCGCATTTTAACGCTCTCTCCAAAGCAGGTTCCCAGGTTGTCATCGACTTCGCAGACGTACCGCAAGGGTTTGCGGATAAAGCAGAACGAGCGCTCGCCATATAAGTGACCCACCAACGGGCCACATCTGTGCCGTAGGTCTTAGCGTTGGTCGAGGAACATCCTTTCTCAGTACAGGCAACCCATACCCAGTCTCTACTGATAGCCCACGATCTTGACCGGGGCACCGGGTGAGTCTGGCAGCAGCCTTGGAACAGTCCTCGCGGTACTCCAAAAGTTGGTGGAAGGTCAAACCCGAAATTGACTGCAGCTCGGGTATGGGGGGCTTCGAGACCACTGGTCCCCTTAACGTGTAGGGAACGGCTATGCGCGCTTCGTCATTCAGGCCCAGACGGCAAGCGATGGTGAAAATGTGCAAGGCTTCAGTTTCCAGGAACCTCGGCAATACTAGTTCCTGCCTCAACGAAGGGATGATTCCCTTCATTTTGTACTTGACTGCAGCGGCCAGAACGGACGATACGTCTGATACGGACGACCATGTGGGCCGTTCAACAGGATAGCATAGTTTCAATAGCTTTTCAAGGACTTCTCCCGTCTCCTCGAGCTTCAGCGGGTCAGGAATCCCGCCATTCTGAACCGTCAGTGAGTCCCTGAGCACCGGTGAGGCGATGGAAAGGACCAGTTTGTGGACTCTAAACTTGAACTCGTCCGAAGAACACAGAATGACATCGGCAGATCGGTCTTTCTGAAAAAGTGGTTCTATTCATCACAGACAGGTATTCAGCTTCAGGCTTCCTCCCAGCAACCACTCCATGCAGACTGCCACCTACCGGTTGGTCGCCATGCGGTCGTGGATGCAGGTGCAGATCCTAGGCCTTCCGGATCCTCAACCTTCGCGCGCACTTGTTGGGGCTCTTCTTCTTCCTCTGAAAGCTGGGAGGACTCACTCATTGTTGAGCACAAAAGACTCGGGATACAAGGATGATTTGAGGACACTGCTGGTGGATAAGTAAGCACCGGCTCCGTGACTCGAAGACGTAAGTTCTAAGAATCGGACACAGTAACCATTGTTACAGCAACAAGCGGCTATTTGACCCGTCAGGACGACCCGCCTCCAGCACTATGATGGCAGCCAGTTGTATAACAACGGGGACTTGACATACAGTACATTCAACTTCACTTCATTCCCGGCGCTGTCATGTTCTCGAACTTCGCAGTTTCGAGGAGCCATAATGGAGTTTTCCGATATGGAAATGGTCATACCAAAAGCGGTAAGCCGCCTTCCCCATCGGGGCAAAGTCACACTACAGCACACGCTGATCTATCCGCAATGAACGTCACCGAAAAATGGAGCTGAGGCGTAGACTGTCAGTGTCAGACTCAGAAGTTGGTCAGAAGCGTTTTGAAGAGAACGACAGCCGTCCACCCTTCTTACTATTGGCCTTAAAATCGCTACTCTGCACCCTCCATCCGCCTAAGTACATACCCAGCCTAGATTTTCGTTCGAGCAGCTACTCTCATTCCCGCCGACTTGCAGTAGAATTTAACCACGACGCCTTGCTCTGCTACGACAGCAGCGCTTTGGACACAATCATTAAGAACAAGCAAGGCAATATGTCTATCAAACCCAATGTTGTCATCGTTTTACAAGGAACATCAGCGACGCAGACGCAGTGCCGACCAGAGGACGGCAATAGACACCGAAGACAAAATATGAGTGCTGTGCGCTCGAGATTAGCCGCTTAGACACAACCATCCACTCAGAAACCCCTGAGGCGGACCGGATGGGCTCCTAGTTGCTTGTTGAGAATCACACAGGCGTTAACGTCTCAGTGAAGCGCAGGGGTACCGTAACTCCTGTCTATGCGCGCACTGTGCGCAACGGCGAGCTCATCGAGCTCTTGCTCCGGCCATGACTCACCTTTATACAGAGGACGGAGAGACTCGGCCAAGTTATGCTAGACTACGCGAGGAAAAGGAGGAGTAAGGACGATCCTTGGGGAACGCGGAGGAACTAGGTGCTTACAGTGCCCTGCAACCTGACGCCTAGGCCTTGTCCCTAAAGGCCATCCACGAGTGCCATGCAAAGTCGAAGCCACACCTGCTTGAATGATCTTCTCGTTGCAACACAGACAAGACATATTCCCAGCCAGTGGGGGAAACGAGAAATGGAAGGAAAAGGACTGCTGCATGGTACTGTCCTGACGGAAAACGGGTCGTGGAACAACCGAAACTGGAGGGCATCCGTCGACTGCGAGAGAACTTGCAGCACATAAATTATTCAGGCAATCCTGTGGGCCCCAAGATGGAAGATTAGGCGAGGACTGAAGACCAGAATTTAGTCGATACCGCGAGAGAACTGTCGGCGATACGATGACACTCCTGATGTCGATGTCGATGGACCCGGGTTCAGATGTGCTTGGGTTAAGCTGCCTACGTGAATACCAGCTACTCGCTCAACAAAAGCTTGATTGTTTCTGCCCAGAAATTCTCGTAAGAGGAAGCCCTGCTTGTACAACACCGACCACCGACCAGGAGACAGACATAGCCCCAAAAGCGTTTCAAAATTCAAATCCGCCTCGATGATCATTCCGCGGAATATCGCGACACGCCTATGCCTTAACTCAAGGTAGAGAAAGGCGCTATAATCTTCAATTTGAGTCTCGCTCTATCGCAAGCGCAAGGGCGTCCCATACGACAAACTCGAGGGCCAGGACGTTGAAGGACTTACGCTGGTACGTATACTGTCCCAACCAGTGCGTAAACCGATGACCGTTTCTGCGAAGCAGATGATGCTTTCTGGACAGTGATTACAACTCAAGCTGAGAAAGGTGATAGGGTCAAAAGGCTTGACATAACTTTGACTTACAAGTGTGTGGAGGATATGATGTTTACCTTCACTTGACCTGAACCACGAGTGACTGTGACCGTCACGGAGACTCGGAGCCTTTCGCAGGCCAGCCCAGACTTCAAGTTGAGGTTTACTTACTTGGACGGCTGCCAACGATGGCAGTAGCACATAATAATCCACAAACCTTAGAAGGTGAGAGCGGCCCCCACCGAACTCAGGACTGTTGGCTTGCTGCGGATGCATCTCCGCAGCACAGCGATCAAAGCACCATGGGTATATATATGGTATCATCTTATCTCGCTTTGACTCTTCGCCTGCATAGAATTGCCCTGAACAGGCGTGTCTACGGGCAACGATGAAGACCGACGCGCTCTGCTTTAGCGTCCTCGCGGCTCTGGCATCGCTGGCTTGCTCGACTGTCCCCCCTGCACACTCAAGCGGCGGTCATGAACTCGCCGCGAATGCCAACCACATCTTCAACGCCATTCACTCGTCTCTGCGTCAATGGGGGTCCTCCCTGAACCACAACGGCATGTCCTACTTCCTCGCCACCGTCCCAGAGGGCACCCAGCTCTACCACGGGACAAGCAAGGCGGAGCCGGTTACGGGGATGGAATGGCTCGCGTTCGAGCCGGAGCACTCGATTTTGTTTGCGGGGCGTCGAGGGCCGCCGCGGAGGAGACCCGGAGAAGAGCCCGGGAAACCAGGAGAAGGTCCTCCGCCTCCACCTGGGGGAGGGAGGGGCCCTCACGAAGGCAACCCTTCGCGACTCGCGAACAATCAGCAGGAACCCCTTCTTGGATACGACGCTCCAGACGAAGACGAAGAACTCGGCGGGTATTTGCACACCTACCGCGCTGCCCGCCCGCTGCGCCTGCTCTACATCGACGGCGAGTCTGCTGCCAAGTCCAACAAGGGCACACTGGACTCGCAAGATTACATACTGGTGAATTCCACTGACACTTCGGGTCGTATGGGCGGCGAGTTCGCGCGCGCCGCGGGGCTCTGCGAGCTTGCGCAGACGGAGTGGGGCGGGCGCATCGACGGCGTGCTCCGCATGGAGGGCGGGTTCGAGATTATCTTATGCTCATTCCAGGACCGCCTCGACGTGGTACGAATTAATAGGCAGCAGTCCCGCTACGCGATGCACGACGGACAGTTCTTCGACTACTACCGCGCGATCACGGCGCGGTACCATGGGATCGGCGGGGGCAGGGTGCGCCTGGACTTCGACCGGTTCGTCACCGCGTTCGACGGCAAGTACGGCGTGGACCCGCTTTTCAGGAACATCGATGGGCGCGTGCTCCCGCGGCTGCAGAACGTGACCAAAGAGCAGGTCGCGATGATCAGGGCGGATATCCGCGCGCTTGTGCTCGGCGCGGGCAGTCCTGAGCGCTCGTATGACTGGCAGGGCGTCGCGGACATGATCGTCGGTCGGTACGCGAGCAGGCTGAAGTACATCGCCGCCCTGCCGACGCTGGAGCATGTCCAGGATGAAATCGTAAACACCTTGCAGCCGTTCATCGACTTTGCCCCGGGAAAGCGTAATGCCTCCGCCGAGGCGCACCGTTGTGCGACGCAGTTCATCCCCGTCTTAGCACCCTCGCCCGCCGAGTCTATGGGCGCTGCTGCCGTATCATACGTCGCACACCACATTTGTTCTACCCTGACATCCGTCGGAGAGGTGGAGAGCTACGATGTGGCTATTCAGAAGCTGAACGATCTGATTGACTGGCTCGACTGGACCACGTGGAAGGAGTGCGGTGCTTGCGATCCCGACAAGCTTTGCATGATACCCATATGGCCGCAGGGATCGCTGGAGGACTTTACTAATCCACAGTGTCTGAATGCGACGCAGATGCAGGGCAGGAGGGGCTACTGGGGCAGGCGGTGGTAGGAGGGAAGCTCGATCGAGAGAGTATGGTACCGTGATCATAAATAGACGGCCACTCTTGTATTGTTGGCGCTTGCATATTGTAGAGGATTACATCGCTGTCTCTGAATATCACCCTGTATCTCGATGGAACAAACCAACGACGGGAGCAGAGTTTCAGCACGCGAGATGAACTAGCTCGCATGAGAGGATTGGAGAGTGAGAACGAACCATACATGTCGCAGTGGAGGTATCGTATGATTATGGTACAGGACCTGCTATTAAACACAAACTGCAAAAGATCTCGACTCAGATATCACAAGGGCAACAGGTCATGACTTCGCGAAAAACCCAGCAAAGTAACTCTCCAGAACGGAAACGTCGTCCAAAGGCGCAACAATCCCGACATACCCGTCCGGCCGGACTACGACAATAGCGCCCTCGGAGCCAATACCAAACTTCTCGTACACGCCCGCGCCGACCTTGCCCGTGGTATCGACGTCGTCGAGGAGAACCCTAAATGATCTCATGTCAGCCGTAGAAGACAGACGAACGAACGCGTGCATACTTGGACCAGTGGGGCCGGAATACCTCGGGCACGTCAGTATACACCACGTCCTCTTTTCTCGAGAGACAGACAGCAAACACATCGAACACATCATTCTTCTGCTCCCCAAACCTGCCCAAGAAGCTCTCCTTCCGCTCCAGGTGCTTCGCCAGTTCGTCGACTTTCCGCTTCTGCTCCGGCGCGCCGATGTCGCCCGTGAAGACGAGGAGCTTGAAGCGGGTATCGGCGGGAAGGAGGTCCTGCAGCTCGTACGGGCGCGCGTCGGCTGCGCGGATGACGGTCTGCGGGAGCACACGCTGGCCGATGATGAGCTTGGAGGCGGAGGCCTGGTGGGCTGCGTCGACGATCGTGGACGGAGCGTAGTGGATCCCGATGCCGCTCGTAAAGCCACCGAACGTACGGAAGGCCCTGTAAACCCCTGCTCGGCGACGAAATGCGGAAGAGGAGAAGAATCCAACGCACTCTACGAATTCCTCTTGTGTGACGCCGTCGGGGTTCTCTTCGCTCTTCGGCTTCTTGGAAAACAGTGAGGCGAACTCTTTGTCGAACGCGATCAGGTCCTGAGCGTACTTTCGGCGCTCCAACTCGTACTGGATCCATGCAAGCCTTGTCAGTAAATGCGAGATACCCACGACATGAAAGTCACTGACAGTCTTTAGCAGCGAAATATCCGCCCATCCTCGAAGCACATGCGTCAACTTCCAGATCAGGTTGTGGGTATCGTTCATGCTGGCGTTCATCCCCTGTCCGGCTTTGGGAGAATGCGTGTGACAGGCATCACCAGCGATGAATACGCGTTCGTGCGCTGAGAACTTTGAAGCCACGCGCTGACCAACTTCACATTACGCCATGAGACACCGGCGATCAGACTGGTAATATCACAACATACTGATGTATATCGTCCACCACAGTATATCGCCCTTTGCCTTGATGCGATAGGGATGGAAAGACTTCTTTGCAACCTAGAAACATGATTGATGCTGAGTTGTTAATCCATGATAATCTTAGCCACGTACCTCCAGCAATTTTTCAGCGCTGCACTTCTGCGTGTCAACGCGACCCGTCGTCACGTCTCGGACGTCCTCGTCCGTAAGCTGGATATACAACCTCACAACATCCCCTTCGCGCGGTATAACCATGCATGAGCCGTTGTTCGAATGGATCGCGCACCGGTTGCGGATGTCCGGGAAGTCTGTGTCGGGTATCATGTCGACCACACCCCAAACATAATCTGCAGGCCCATCAGCTCAGGATTTCGGCTTAGTTCGGACAGAGAGATGCCGGCGCCGTACCTGTTTGTTCGCCCTCCATGGCAAAGCCGAGCTGTTTCCTCACCCATGAATGGGCGCCGTCTGCGCCGACAACGTATTTCGCGTGAACGACTTCGGTATCTTTCCCCTCGGGTGCGTCCACGTGCTTCAGTACAACCTAACGCGCAATAGTTCGTTCGTCAAGGGTTTCACTCACTGCGCGCGGTCGAGCATACCTTTACAGCGCGCGCTTGCGGATCCTTCAAGGCGTCTCGGTTATCTGAGATCTCAAGCGATTCCGGGACCACTGGACGCTCGACTTCGTGCCCCATCGAGCGGAGGCAGTCTAAGAATATGGACTCGATCGCGCCCTGATGGAGGGTGACCTGATTGGTTGCGGTGGCGGGAGATAAGAATAGAGGAGATACACGATCCATCCTAAGGAGGACTCACCTCGAACGGGAATCGGGCCGTAGGGGCATTGATGTCCGGTGTTCGTCCTGTACGGTGGATTCCTCCTTCGGGGCTGGGGTCATAGAATGCCTGAGTGTGTGCGCGCATCTTCAGTGTGAATGACATGAGGTTCTAGAGTTTTCAGACTCACTGCCATGTGCATTTGGTTGCCTTCCTTCAATAGTCGCTCGGCGAGTCCATAGCTCTAGGAAGTGTAAATCAAGAGTCGCTCACTACACGCATATACCGACCTGTAGCACTTCAATTGTGCGTGGTTGGATGCCATCAGCCTGTCCCGCCGCGACCTTGCCTGGTCTACAGCAACGAATTTCAATCGCTGTGCTCCGTTGTCTCAACATCTAGCACTGACCTCTTGTCCACAATCCGGACATTTACACCTGCCCTGGCCAGCCCCTGCGCACACATCAAGCCCGCAGGTCCCGCACCGATAACGAGCACATCCACGTCGGATTCCTTCATGGCGGGTACAGGCATGTTGGGCGGGCTGAGAGTTCAACGTTCAGGATCCGGTCGATGTCCGTTACGTCTCAGTGCAGACCCCTTTATATGTCGGATCGGATACTCCATTGGCTCGTTAGACCTGTACTGTTCGTCGCCTTTTACGGTAGCCCACCCGGAACAACTAATTGACGGCTCTGGTAGCGCTGGTCATGAGGTCCGCTCCCCTGCCCTTACGGGTTCTCCTTAGCTGATCGCATCTAGTAGAAACTGGAGCTGCCAGGGCTTTTTCTTCATGTTGTACACTCGAAGCTTCGATGCCCGAAGCGATAGTTTGTAATGAATATTGGAGAACCGGCGTCGACGCAGGAGGATGCGAGGATGAGACGCAGGCACGGACTTGGAGGGTTGACAATTCCAAATTTGGTTAGCAGCAATAAAACAAATATCACTGAGCCAATTATTTACTTTCTTTACTGACTCAGACTACGTCCTCTTGACCAAGGCTCGACTTCCTCTCACTCAAACTTGCTGACAGGTATAAAGGATGAACTGTAAAACTGCTCGAAACTCAGGCGATAGCATCGGATGGATCTTCTGTCCGGCTTCTGCGCGTGGAATGCCCTGGGTGCGGCGAGTACACAAGCAGTAATCGCAGACTTGAGGACGACCGCGGCGAACTTTCCGAAGGCTGCGGTGAGTTCGACTGTATCGGGAAGATCTTCGAGAGAACACTGGGGAACGCTATGCCTGGCTATTTGCACTCATTCCCGCTTGCGTTCGTTTTGCAGATAGGAGGCTGCACTGACAGGCAGATCAGTATTTGCATGCTGCGTTCCAGCCGGCCAGACTGCCAGCACCGACCTCTCAAGCTTTGGTTTCGCTGGGCACCCGAAATGTAAAGATATGCAATAGACAAGAGCCAGCGACATCGCCTCAGACGACGACTCATGACTCCCCGACATCATGCCAAAGTAGGGGTATACATTCCAGCTTCTAAATGCCGATCTCCGAGTTGCTCAGGAAATGTGATCCTCCAGCACAACGATATCCCCCCTCCTCCTTGATCCATGCGTAGCCCTGCTCACATACGCCCATGTCTCGTATCTTCTGCTGAACAAGAGCTTCTTGTCGTTGTTTTGTCTCCTTCTGCCGTTTGATCGCTTCCTTGAGACGCGTTGATTTCTCGAGCTCGATTACCAATTGGTCTGGTATATGGTCTACAGGGCGCTGGGTTCCTACTTTGCGCTTAGTGTCGACCTGCGCCGCCTTGCAAGACTGACGAGAGCTTGTTTCCTTTACAATCTTGATGATCGGAGGTGGGGCCGCGAGTTGCTCCTGCATCCGCTGAGGCGGCTCCGAGCATGAAGCTTGATGGCCGTCAGGTACACTCTTAAACCGGACCTGGCGCTCCAAAAACATCTGTTTTATGCAACGTGCCACATCTTGACCTTGTACAATCAATCGCCCTTCGGACCCGTCGGTGCTGTCCAGAGAAGACAGGACGAAAATGGTGAGCCTTTTCAAAAGTGTCTCCATGTCCCTGGCATTTCCCCAGGACGGCAGCCTCTGCAATCCCTCAAGGATAGATATCATTTCTCGGCGCCGTTGATCTGACGGACCAGCAAGTTGGATGTCTTGGTTGCGGAGGTTTCTCGTCAGGATTTTCAGGCAATTCTCCGGGGAGAGGTGCCTGAACACTATCTCTTCAGAGAAACGGCTTGCCAGACCACTGTTCACCGTCAGTAGGTTGTTCATCTCTTGCTCGTAGCCGGCGAATATGACTATGAGTTTACCACGAAAGCGTTCCTGGGTCAGGATGCCGACGATCTCGTCCACGGCTTCTTTGGCGTACTGCCCTTCGCTAAGGCGGTATGCCTCGTCGACCAGAAGGACTTTCCCCAGCGCTTTCTCGAAGACCCTCCGTGTTTTCTGCACAGTGTGGCCGACGTATTGTCCTACTAGGTCGGACACTGAGCACTCCATGACCTCTGCTGAGGAGAGGAACCCCATGTCGTAATAAACCTTTCCCATTTTGCGAGCCGTCGTGGTCTTGCCGGTGCCTATGCCAACGTCAATATCGAATTGGTATCCATGTAAACTCAGGCTCACCCGGTGGTCCTTTGAAGATGAAGTTCGTTGGGACGTGATCGCGCGGGTCTTTCCCTCGCGCCTTCAAACGTTTCGCTGTCACCTGCCACGCCGCTAGTTTCTGAATGATGTCTTCGCAGCCGACCACGTCCTCGAACAGCTTTGCTAAGTTTGCTGAAGCCGATTCAACCCGCGCGAACGCGGGATCGAAGTCCTCTGGCTGAAAGGGCGCGTCGTGCGACCGCCTTTCCGCAGGCAACGCCATCTGGCGTGACTGGAGCCGCAACTTCGCCTGGGAAAGTACATTCTCGACCTCTCCGATATTCCCAAAATTGGGGCGGTTCCGCAAGCGACTCAGTGTTTCGATAGCGACTGTTTTGGCCTTGTCTGTAGCGCTCAGATCCTGGTCTCGGAGCTTCCACTCCAGGGCCTGCATCAACTGGGCATCGGTGTAGTCTTCAAATACGAACACGTGCTCTATTGCAAAGCGGCGGGAGAGCCCCGGATTGACGCTCTGTGAAGTCTAGTCAGGCTTGTCATTCAAGATCCACTGAGAAGACGTTCTTCACCTGAAACATCTCTTCCATCTGGTCCTTGTACCCTAGTAGCAGAACGCAATGGTCTTCCCCTGGCACACTCTGAACCTCGGCGACTATTGTATCTATGACAGCCGTCTTGTAGGAATCCGAACCATTGCTGCTACCAGAGTTTCCGAGCATATAGGCCTGTAACCGTCAACAGATGCATCTGCATTCTTCTTTCCGATGAAGGACAAGGACGAACCTCGTCGATTACCAGGACCTTTCCAACAGTGGATGCAAGAATAGATTTCATCTGGCTCTCGGACTGTCCCAGAGCACCACCGATGAAATCTGAGGGGTTCTTTGTAACGACTATGATATCAAGACAAGTTGTCAGGGAAGGATGTGATATGTATGGTTTAGTGCTCACCGTCGCCATTGGAAAGAAGACCTAGCTCTGCGAGGATCTGACCGTATAGCTTCGCAACCGTCGTCTTTCCTGTGCCCGGAGAGCCTAGGAAAACACGGTTGAGAGAAACTTGGTACGGGGTTTTCTCCTTCAATTCCCGTTGGTAGTTGGCCTGAACCATGGTGAAGAGGTCTTGAACTGTCCTCTTCACCGCGTCCAGTCCGATCAGGGATTTCAGTCTCTTCCAGGCTCGGCTGGCTTCTAGGACCTTTGCAGGCTCGGGCCCCATGATATCCTCCTGGGTCAACAGAAAGTCATCTTCCGACCTTTCCTCTCTTCGTGCCTTACTCAGTCTGTCCGCCTGTCGTTCGGTTATCTTGGAGAACATGGTCGCCAATGCTCTTGCATTGCCGAAGTTTTTTGATACCCTCTGCCTCCCTAGCCGCCGAACAGCAATGCGCCCCAAAAGGCCTCTGATCCCGTGGCTGTCGGCCTCGACCTGCATCCTTCCACCCCATTTCTTCTCCACCAAGCCTGACAGCATTTCTAGTAGTTCAGCATCGCTGTAATTGTTGAAACGGAACGTGTAAGGGATGCGGCTTTGCAATCCTGGATTGTGCTCGAACAATTTCTCCATCTCATCCCTATAGCCAGCAAAAATGAAAACAATTTTTCCGACGAGCTTCTCCATCTCTGCTAAGATATAGTCCAAGACTGCGGTGCCTTGGAAGTTGCTGCCGTTCGTCAGCTGGTATGCCTCATCCACGAATAATACGCCACCGTCTCCGTCGAGTAGGTCCTCGATCTGACTCTTGATGCCGGGTACTCCATCATTCGCCAGGCGTGAACCTGTCGTCTCTACGAATTCCGACCCAGGCACAGCATTTACAGACGCCAGAAACTTGCCGTAAAGTCTTGCGATAGTGGTCTTACCTATGTTCATTCGCGATCGGATCGAAGCATAGGCTCACCCGTTCCGGGATTCCCGAGCATACATACATTGAGCCGCTCTTCGCTAAGCTTCGCGCTTTGCCTGGAGGTCGTGTCAATCTTATTCTTTATCTTGAGGACCTGGCTTTTGACATCCTCAAGCCCCGTCATCTCCATTATGGCGTCAATTGTTGGGTTCGAGTCACCGTACAGCTCCTTCTGACGTTGCCAAGCCTGCTTGGCCGCAGATGGGGCAACGACCCAATGTCCATTGCCTATGCCAAGTGGCGACGTGGGGCTCGTCGGCGGAAGCAGCTCAGACATAGGCGCTGTTTAGAATTGAGCGCTGAAGCGGAACGTCACAGGAGAATTGGTGACCTGGGTGTCGAGGTCCCAGGAGCTCTACGCCTTTTAGAGTGTTCTGGCAAGTCTGCGCCTTTTCCTTAATTCAACGAAGCTCCTTGCTCTTCGCCGTTATCTTGCACAGCATACTACACGAGTATGCCTTGCTGAAGGCCGAGTACCCAACTGCTGGCTTTCCGAAGGTTTCATATTGCACTGGCTTGGGGACTATATCTTGCGGCGTGTGCTCCTCATGTCTTAATAGTGCCCGGCCAATGGTACTATGCACGCCGTTATCTGTGCGTGGAAAAACCAGACACAGCAACACTGGACAACTCTTCGCAGTATCGATATCTATGACACCAGGGAAGGCTCACTTACCATACTTGGATGCTATGCAATCATCCAGGGAAAGCATGTTCTGCGACGTGGACCCACAGAAGTACTGCAAACATAATCAGGGTAAGTTCCTAAATACTGCAATCATGTAGGGAACCCGGATCCCCGGAGACCTTTCCCATCAAGGACGTCGCTGCAGATGTAATCCTGAACTAGTTTTGGGACAAGGGGACCAGGTGCAGACCGCGAATGTCGAACAGTGGTGTCGTTTTCTCTTCATGTCTGATGAAGGCGGTGCGTGCTGTCCAGTCCACTCGACCTGTGCTGTGATAGACGCCGGTGATTATCGATTAGGTTCTACGTGTCCTTCTCAATACGCCGGTAGTCGACTCACAATTTGCCCCGATGAGCGGTCATTGGAGCGTAGACGGCCACGGCTCACTGTACTTTGGCTTCAAGCTACAAGGTGTATTACTGCATTCTTGGATCATGGTTCTGTTGGCAGCGTCGTCGAGGTTCAGGTAAAACCGAACGCGAAGAGATGGTGTAGGGCATCGATGTCTCTGACCGGCTTAGTGGTTTGCCTAGGGCGGCGTGAAGACTCATCTACGAGCTCCGTTTTGACCGTGAAAAGTAACTAATGGT